TATGAACACACTTACTCAGTGAATCTCTGCAAAGATCACACTTGCATAAGTCCGTGTCTTTTACTGACATGGATGGTACACAAAATACTTATGGTGTATAGGAAAGTGACCACCAAGAGGTTAACAAGTATAATATAGGGTGCTAAATAAAGAAAAAGTCCCATAAACAGTCTATGAAAACTAAGTATGTAATAAAATAAACTTCGTCGACGATTATCGATTATTACGATTAGTTATTATACGATACAACACAGAACTATACGGTAGGTGTTCAAATCTGAAGAAATTGTGGAACAATATATTATCTACAAGTCAGAATACGTGCGGTACTATACATAGTTCACAACAATTAGATGATCATCTATTGCAGCCGCTCTGCTCGTCAATACGACATACAATCTCCGAAAAGTTTTTTATAGAAATATGACTAACTCTTAATAGTGTTAATATTGTACGGAAAAGGTACTAATTTAGCAAGTCTATAGCACTTGTTTTGTATCTTTTACTTGGTGGGTGCAATAAGATCGACGACATCTGCGATCCCCTAATTCTTTTCGAGCACTGTGGTATTTCGTTAAACAAATCGACGCGATCAAAACGACCTGGAAAATAATACAATAAAAATGATCTTTCCGTCCTAAATTTTACTTTCATTATTTATTACATTTAACTGCTATTTGTTGCCACTACAGCAATAGTTTCGCCGCTATTTCATTCAACGATACAACGATTCGCGTTTATAGACACAGTAAACTATACCTTTTGGGTATCGCGATCATGGAGTCCTAAAAGTTTTAACGATATCATGCAACCTGCGAGATAAGCCCTTGATTTCCGATGAAAGTTTCGTGAAAAAAATGATGTCCCTATCTCGATAACCTGCCAGCGAAACGATGGAAGTGGAACGTTCTTGGGTCCTGAGAAGCTGGTACCAATATCAATTTGTATCGGTAAGATTTCAAGCGTGGGCTGTAAATGTCTCGTAAAACGATCGTAACTCCGATTCCGTGCCAGGATAAAAATAACTCTGAGAAGAATGAATCGGGGAGTCATTCGAAGAGTAGGCGCCGAGTAACAAGTGATTCGCGTGGAAAGTATTAGCGGAAGAAGGACAGGGACGAAGGGACGACAGGAAAATTTAATAGAATGGGTATCGAATATGACAAGATGTACGATGTCCTCTCAATAACTTATTAAATGTGGATTCTTCACACGAGTAGTTAGTCGTGATCAATGTTTGGAATCGTTGTAAACGCTGTTTACTGTTGAAGGGTTCGATCAGTAGTAGGACTCATTATGTTTTACACGCTATTTCTTATATAAAAAAGAACAACACATTGATAATTACTTGGAACAATAAAACTGTAACGAAAACAGAAAATTCACGCCATATGGCCCTCGCAGGGGTCGGAAACTCTCCTCTACATAAAAGTGAAGCATTACTCGCTACGCCTTCTACGAACACTCTGAATTATGGGAACTAAAATTCGATATATATATATAT